TGATTTCCCCCACAGCTCACAACATGCCCTACAGGTTTGAAATTGTAAGTCGCTTTGGATAAAAGCGTCCGCTAAGTGAATAAACATAAACATAGCTTAATTACACCATTATTGGATCTAGAGAGGTTGAAGACCAACAGAACACTAAGGCAGAGAGGAAATTATCTCTGTCTGTCCCAAAACAATTTTATCTGAATCTGGTGCCCTTGGAGCCTTTGAGGCTGAAGTGTAAAGTGATTACTCCCCCTCAGAAGAAATTTGGAATGCTGCCTTCGCTATGGAAACTCTTTCTCCCTATCCCAGCCTGGGCGGGACTGCGATCGGTGAAGGCCGTGGAACCGTATCTAGGAGTCAATGTGCCCTCTAACCCATTATCTCCCTCCCCTGTCCAAACGGAGGTGATGAGCGCTGCTCCATGTGGCTTCACGCACTGAAGTGAGGAGAGTCCCAACCCTACCTCCCCACCTAGTGGAAACTCATGTTGTGTTGTCTGATGTCTGTGAGCATTTCTTATTTATTTTTATTTATTTATTTTTTTAACCGTGTCCTGTCTGGCTGTGAAGCAAGCAGAATTGATGTCTTAATGCTGGTAACAAGCCTTACAGATTTATTCTCAGGTGGAGCATCAAAGCGTCTGCTTTTAATGTCACGCCTGAGACTTAAAACTTTATTGTTATTGTTTTTGAATGCTTTGTAATTCCGACCAGACACGGAGACAGAGGTGAAAGAGAAAGGAAAAGACAAAAGGTGGGAAGAAGGGGGGGGGGGTTCCACAAAAATAAACAATAATGAACAAGAGTCTGCTTCTAGACCTGCAGAAAGAGAAAGAGCAGAAAAAAATGGGACACACAACAATACATCAGGAGCAAGCTATCACTGCGTCAACCTGATGTTGAAATATAAAATCAACATTGTTTAACTGAACAATCACACGATAATAAATCATAGTGCATGTAGTGGCAACGACAACCTTAAGACAAGTGTTGAATGTGCCCAAGTCCATACTTTTGAGAGCACCATGTGAGCACCTGTGTGTGTACACGCGCTTGTTTATGTAAGGTTTCTCTATAGGAGCATCCAATAGAGAGTGTGAGGGACCACAGATCTGCCCCCAGAGATGCGTAGGAGATGGGGGGAGCTCCAAGTCCCAGAGATCCAGGCGTTGCCCCAGAACACAGGAACCCCAAGGGGACTGCAACCAGAAAGGCCCCCGCCCCCCTCGAGAGGCGCAGAGGATCGCCCCGGGGGGCCACAACCAGTAGCCGGCAGAGCCCCGGGAGATATCAGCGGCAAGCCCACAGGCCCGCCCGCCACCTCCCACCCCCTAGCTGGCCGAGCCCGGGACCCAGCGACCCGGGACCCAGGGGCGACCACCCCCGCCGAGGACCCAGCAGAGCCCAGGGACCCAGACCCCACCAGGCAGCCACCGGAATATACCAGGCAGGTGCAAAAGATCTTAAACCCCCTGACCCGGGAGCCACGAACACTCAGGCAGACCAAGGCACCACACCCCACACCAGGTGTGGCAGGGGGAGGGGAGACGAAGATCTATATCATCAAAGGAGGTCCCAGGAGAGGGGAGGAGTCAAAGGCCCCACCTGACATATACAGTCATACACAAACACAGTCACACACTCCCTCCCTCATGCTCACACATGCACATACAACCAAAGACTTACAAAAATGCACGCCGGACACCCACTCATGCTCCACATACACACCCTATTCACTCTGGTCCCGGTACTGCTGCACACTGGGTATAACCATCACCGGTTACCAGAGTTTGACCCTTTCTGCTGGGGTGCTGATGAGCAGGCTCCCCCGCCCAACACCGAGCCCAGCAACCCACCACCCCAGACCCCAACTAGACGGCCAGATCTCCCTCCTAGTCTCCAGCCCCAGGAAGCCAAGCAACAGTGCTAGGAACCCTAGTCTCCCTCCGCCTGCTCCATTATAGTGTTGTGTGTTGATGAGGTGTATTCCATGGCTTTGGTGAGCGGGCAGTGCAGGCATTGTCTGGCCTATGCCAGCGGATGCCACCGCACCACCCCACTTGCACCCACAGCCCTCGGTGTCTAAGTGCAGTTTAAAATTGGAAGTGGGCACCGGCACTCGGGAGGAGGCTGAGAAATCCCCCTGCCAAATGCCGTTGAATGTGCTCACTCCCAAGTCCCTAAGTGTGTGTTTGCGTGGAATGTCGTCGATGGAAGTGTATAAGGTGCAAATAAAATTGTGGGGCAGGTTGCCACAGGAATGCGGAAATGGGGTCCAGACTCACACTCCCTGACTTGTCCACCCCCCAAGGTCCTATGTGTATGTTTGTGTGATGATGTGAGGGAGCAGGAGGAGAGAAATATGCGGGGATGGGGAGGAATGGCTGGTTGGGCTTAGCCCTCCAGGGAGCCAGCTCTCCCACTGGCCCCAATAGGCACCTCTGTTGTCAAACTGCCACCCAGGGCATGGAGACCCCAGCCCATCCTGCCAGGGCCCAAAGCAGCAGCATTACAGAGCCCCAAGGAGTCCGAAGGCACCAACCCAGCCCCACCCCAGCAGAAAAGCTATGCACATCCCTGCATTTGCACAACTTCCAGAATATATAAGACATAGGACATCCAGGTAAGGTTGGGTCCTCCCTCTCCTGGACCTCCCCCTCCCCTGTGATGGAACAGCAGAGGAGCCAAGGTCTACCCGAGGCCCCTGAACCCAGGCCAGGCACTGCTGCATGTTCCTGCCTTCTTCCCGGCAGCATACATGTCAGGACCCGACCCCCAAGGCCCCACCCAGATCCCCACACGGGGCCGGCCACCCCCACACCCCGGGCCCCCACCCAGACCCGTCCAGGGGCAATGCATCTGCCAGGCAGTGACCCATGGCTGCCGCCAAGATCCCCAAGGGGCCCCACTCACAACCGCCAGCAGTCCACCCCCCGAGGCAACCCAAGCACCTCCAGAGGGGGGAAACAGCCCCCCAGTCCCAGACACCCCCAGTGAACCCACCTCCAGGGAACATCCGGATACTCCAAACTCAGACCCCACACCCCCCACCCACATCATCCCGCAGGACAACATCAACGGCCCCCCACCCTCGCTATGTGATGGAACCGATCAAAGGAGCCCAGAGAGATTGATCTGAAGTGGAAGCAGAGGCTAAATCAAGTGTAATATGATCTAACAAAAGATTTCTATACTGGTTAATGCAGAGAGTTTCTATATTTTTCCAATTCAAGAGGATAGTTTTCTTAGCGATGCATATGGCAGTCAGAACCACGTGAACCAAAGATGTTTCAATCGGGACATCGTCCAGGTTTCCCAGTACACAAAGAGAGGGGGAAGTTGGGAAATGACATTTCAGAGACTTTGACAGATCCTCACATACTCTACCCGATAATTCCTGGATAGGTGGACAGGACCACAGTGCATGAATGTAATTGTCAGGAATGTTGTTTGTGCAGTGTGTACAGGTGTCAGACGACACAAACCCCATCTTGAACATCCGATGACCTGTATAGTGTACTCTGTGTAGAATGTTGTACTGAATTAATTGTAAAGTGGAGTGTGTGATCATTTTAAAAGTTTTTAAACAAGTTTGGGACCAGAAGTCCTGGTCAAAGCTGTCTGATGGATCCACCTCCCATTTTTCAATAGGATTGCAATTCTATCGTCTATTTTGGACAGATTCTTATGTACTTTAGACAGTAGTTTGGGGGGTTTGAGATTATAGAAGTCTAATACCCTTGGTGGTGTTTGTAATTTTATTTTATTGAGCTTAAATTTTATTTTGACTACATATTTAATTAGGTGATATTCTAAAAAGCTATTCTTATCCATCCCAAATTGGGAGACTATTCTATTAAATGGGATGAAGTTCAGTCCTTCATATATGTGTTCCAGGTATAGGATTCCTTTATTTTTCCAGTCCGGAAGGTTCATCATTTTGTTATTTAGCAAAATATTAGGATTATTCCAGATAGGTATGCATCTGCATGGTACTAGTGAAGACTCTGTCATTTTAAGATACTCCCACCATGCTGTCAGAGAGGTGCTGATACTAATACTTTTGAAGCCTTCATGTTTTCTTATGCTTGAGCTAATAAATGGTAAGTCTGAAAGCTCTATCGTATTGCAAAGTGTCTGTTCTATATCTAACCAGGACTCATCTAATGGGTTATCTTGCAACCATCTTGGTATATATTGCAGCCTGTTGGCTAAGAAATAATAATAAAAGTTGGGTAAATCCAGTCCTCCTCTGTCTTTGGTCTTCTGAAGTGTTTTTAAGCTAATTCGTGGAGGTTTATCCTGCCAAAGGAATTTAGTAACTGAGGAGTCCAGAGATTTAAACCAGTCAGCTGGTGGTTTGTTTGGGATCATCGAGAATAAGTAATTTATTCTGGGTAAGACCATCATTTTAATTGTAGCAACTCTCCCCATGAGTGATATTGGTAAGGATTTCCATCTTGCAAGATCATCTTCCACTTTCTTTAAAAGTGGGATGTAGTCTAGTTTGGTTAGATCTGCTAACTTGTGAACATTTCTGTCTGAGGTGTTTTATATTCACAGCAAAGCTATCCTCTCTGTGGAAGGTAACTCTGAAGTGGCTTTTTTTTCCCTCCCCCCCGACTCTATCCTCATATAAACCCTCTTGATCTTTAAGGTAGCGCGACTCGGGTTGCGAATGACCACAGTCACCAATTCTTGTCATGTGTCTATGCATGCATGTGTGATCGCAGAATTGTGTGTACTGAAACTCTAATTTCCCTCTGGGATTAATAAAGTATATTTGGATTTGAATATGATAATAAAATTGGTATTTCACCCAGACCTACTGTGATAACCTGACTCGGATAGTGCTTTAAATGCCTAGAAAAGTGCTGCATAAATGTAATCCATTATTATTATTATTTATAGCTGGACCTGTGTTACTAATGCCTAATGCTTTGATAGAACATGTGTCTCTGAGCAGGTAAATATATCCTTATATTTATGTTTTCTTGTGTCTTTTAGGATCAGCTGATTTTTTTTGCCACTTCTCAAGGATCTGAAGAACGTGTGAGGAAGAAGAGCTTGAAAGTTCACTTCGGTAGTCCTCCCTCCTTAGTTCTACAAACAACCTGTGACCCCTCCTCATGCAGAAACTAGTTTTAATAACGTGGTTCTTACAGACTGTTGGAAGATGGACTTATTGAAGGTAGTTGTCTGCATAGAGATACAAGTGTCTAACCTTAAATGTCAGAAAGAATAACTGGATTTTTGTTCACTTAATTTAGTTTTATTCTTTAGTTTGTTTCTAAAAATTTATCGTAAATAAATTAGAGCTTTGAGCTTTTTGTGTTTTTTTGTGTCACATGGTAAATCAGCAGATAGATAGATAGATAGATAGATAGATAGATAGATAGATAGATAGATAGATAGATAGATAGATAGATAGATAGATAGATAGATAGATATTCACATACTTCTGCTTTTACAATTTATAGTGATGAGTAGGTGTGTCCTGCAGTAACATCTTCTGTTTATTATGATGCTGTTATTGTTGTATAATGACTGTTTACTGATTGTGGTTGTTTGGTCACATACATGAACAGTATACAGCACGTGCTGAGCTAATAAAGTGGTTTCTATAGGAAACTCGTGGTTTGGTTGTGTTCACTCATCACAGCTCAGGCTGCACACAACTGATATAAAGCTTTACGACCATTTCCTGGTTGCAGAGAGAGATGGATGGGTGAACACGCTGATAGATTGACAGAGAAACTGATATGAAGGAGCAGCAGCTCTACTCCAGGTCTCCGTTTTCACCACAGATCAGTTCAGCGTGTCTGTCATCTCCCACCTCCCTTCACTCATGGACAAAAACCCAAGATACCTACACCCCCTCATCCGTGGTTGTATATCATCTTCTTAGGGTTGTACAACCCATAGATATGTATATAAACACTAGATGATGAAAGCGGGTGTCGAGGGTGTAGCTAAATAGCAGTCATCTTACCTCAGACAACAGATCCCTCCGCTCTCAATGGTAGCAGCTGAAAGGTGAGTGATCAGCTAAATGCTGTCGTTGTGTCCTTGGGCAAGACAACTAACCCAACTTGTCTGCTGGTGGTGGTCGGAGGGACTGGTGGCACCAGTGCTCGGCAGCCTCGCTGTTAGGTATTTTTATTTATTCAATCCAGGTGTACCTTAGAGAAAGTCCAACACGCGCAAAGGCAGGGGACCTCGGAGGATGTTTATCCAGGTCACACCTTGGCTGGCAGAGAAGACGAAGGTGTGCTGACGGTCCAGTCCAGAGTTGACCTCGGTACACGTTGCTGAAGCGTTTGGCAGACGCGCTTTCTCAAGTTTAAATTAACTCAGAAATCAAAGCCTCTGGGACGAGTCTGCGTTAGCTGGTTGCATTTCAGCTATTCTGTCTGGCTTGACAGAAATAGCGTGGGCGGGAGAAAAGAGCCGGCAGGGCTCCGTTCCCCGTTGGCGTTTGTTCCGCACGTCCGCCCTCTTCCGTTCTCAATCTCGTTCTGACTAACTTACCAAAAACCACTTCTCTTCCCAAAGCAAACTTGTTGTGCGTCAGAGCAAATGTGTTTTGGAGTTACTGTGAATCCAGACCTGTGTGAGCGAGTGTGAAGGTCATCACTAAACATCTTCAAAAACATTATTTAATTAAGTATACTGATTCATTATAGTTCATTATGATTACCCAAAGCATAATAATCATTCATTTGATTAAAATACATGTATAATGAGCAAAGTGATAAAATGATTATTTAACTTTAATAATGAAGAAAGTTTAAGACTTTGTTTTATTATGACTAGAGTGTGGGTTGAAGTCCTTCTTCTGGAGCTGCAGGTGTTCGATTGTTGTGGAATCCTTCAGACTTGCTGTCGGCTCAGGTCTTAATCTGTGGGTGAAAGTGCTGCATGACCCAGCTCTGACCCAGCCGGGCAAATACGACCTTTGGCGCAGAAAACCCATACTTCCTCACGTTACACCCCCCTGTTCAAACGGAGTTCACCTTAAATGATTATAACAATGAAGGATAATAAAATCTGAGTTGATAACAAGAACATCAAACAACAATGGTTACAGAAACCGTAATTTACAATGTTGAAGTCATAATGAAACCAACTTTATCAGGCAATATATTCATCTTCTGGAAGCTCCTCTTTTTGTCTCAGGAGAGTATATTGAATCAAGGCATTCATCATCAGTTTGCTTACCATATTCTTCAAACACGGGAGCACACAGTTTAAAACTAAGCAAATCATGACCAGGATAACAATAACAGGTGCAAGAAACTTTAACAAGAGCTGATACCAGTTACCAGATACTAGCTAACTCATAAAACTCCAGGATCCTCCAGTCGATTCTTTGGATTTCAGGAAGTTACTCGAGGGGGAAAGTTAATGTAAAATGTTAATGTACGCAGCTCTAACTGTGGCAGAGCTGAGGTCAAAGGGCTTGTCCGTGGACTGGACACTGTAGTTTGAGCAAAACAATGCCTTCTTCAGGATGGTGTTGCACGGGGAAAGGTGATGTAGAAGTGTCCTTTGGGGTCGTCGTCGTGAGGGGCGCGGCTTTGGTCGCTCATATGAGGCTGGGTCAGTGTGCCAATCTGCACGCGTGTGCCACACCAGGTGAGTGGCAGGAGAGAGCCAACCTGAGCAAAAGGCATGTGCCAGCAACTGTGATGATGTTATAGCAACCTGGGATTCAGTGACGGTGGGGACGGTGAGGGGATGTCTTTTTGGGCAGGGAGCCATGAAACCAGACGGGAGATTTGGGGTACTGGATCTTGACATCGTTGGAGGCAGGTCACAGCGCCGTGTGAATGGACCCAGGAGGGGTCTCAACCACCAGATGTTGTTTCCGTTGTTCCTCCCAACTAATGCCGTTTCCTCTCGTTCCATAAGATGCTGAGGGGTGGTTTCAGGGCAAAGTGTGATCCCCAAACATCAGCAGTGACATGGTGGATGGGCCCTGCAAGCTTAAGACAGATCGTTTACTTACCTGCCGTCCTCGGCGCGCCTGCATGAGGATGGTCAGTCGTAGTGGCCCTCTCAGCAGTATGCAGCAGCGGGAGGGGTAAGATGAGTGACCTTGATGCCTCATCTTGGTAGAAGCACGTGCATCCCCAATCTCCTTGGTTCCACGGTCTGTGGCGAGAAAGCACACAAGCATCTGCAAGTTCACTGTGGCTTTTTGACATCTTCAGCAACAACCATCCAATATACTTTTTGACCAGTCAAGTTTGGACCCCCAATGGGGCTGAAATTCACCAGAAATTTACCATCACAGTCCACCCGGTATCCTCCTAAGCTAGAATCTAGACCACACATACATGTGAGGTCAAAATACTGGACATTCCCCCTGAGCGTAATTGTTGGAACAGCAAAAGTCTGCATACCTCTGCTTTGGGCTCGTTTTTTTTACTTCCTGCTTCCTTCGCTTTGGGAATGCTGATCCCGATGGCTTAGGTGTTCTTTTAATCGTAAAATATCAAAAGTTTAAACGCGACGACAACAGGATGTCCTTTTACAGTGCTACCCACGCACGTGATCTACGGCACCCTTAACGGTCAAATGCATTGGAGCGGTGGCCCAAGCGGGAGCTCGTCATGCAGCCAGATCAATAGAATTTAAACATTGATGTTTTAATTTCATGTCATTTCAGAGGGGAATTTTGAGCATGTAGAGAGTGCATTTCATATAACAAACATAAATGTAATAAACTTTTTTATTTTTTTATTTTGCGCCTGTGTCGTCTGTCGCCAAAGCCGGCCTTTCACATCAAATCTAAACTGTATACCTGGATTAAACTAAATAGTGTAGTGTGATCAGCGTGTATTTTGTGAATTTGGTCACACTGCACTGTGTAATTGTGGACTTTTTCACATAGTTTATCATCAAACGTTTCTGGTGTGATTATTTGCTGACGGTCCCTGAGCGCTCGTTCTGCTCGGGATTTTTTTTTCAGAAACGAGGTTGTAGCTTGTTCTCTACCTTGCCACCAGGCACGTGCAGAGAGGGGGGGGGGGGGCGGAGGGTACTTGAGACCCTGCCCCTTTTGTCCGAAGTGCCCAAAGTGCCCTTTTTCCGGTCGTTTGTCAGATTTTACCGTACAAAACTGTTATACTGTGATACAAATCGGGCACTAGGACCATGCGGAGGCAGCCGCCTCAAGCTGAAGGCTATTTTCCCTTAGACCCGCCTACAAGCTCACTGATTGGCTCTGCCGCATCATACTAACGTGTGATTGGTTGTCCTTGCTGTCGCTCTACCTTGTAGCCATGGAGACGACAAACCGGTGTTTTCCCTGCGGACAGGAGTCTGCGCTGTAAGTTTTTTTCCTGCCTGCTCCACGTCAGCTGGATAGATTTTAATATCAGAGCTTTTGTTTACGTGTGTTTGAGTCCGTGGCTAGTGTGTGTGGAGCAGAGTCAGGTAGCTGCATGTCTGGGACAGAAAATGAGACACGAGAGAGACTTCTCCTGAAGAGTTGCAGAAACTCACAAAGAATCACGGATGTTTCTCACTCTAGATTCTCCGGGTCATAACTTCTGAATTACTAATCAAATAAAAATAATTCAAACGGTTTCTAAAATTACATAAAACGAGCTTTCCAACGAGGTATTACTTGATGTAATTCATGTTACTCCAAAAATCACTATTAGTGGGAAACCAGCTTTGCAGCGTCACTGAAAGAAACGGTGCGGACCGCGACGGGAGAGCGGAGAACCAAAGGGAGGAGATGATCTGATCATCTTCATCAGCAGCTTTTATAAAGTTATGGAAACAAACATCACAAATAAAATCCACCTGGTTGGTCAGGTGTCCCAGAAGGCTGTTTCTGTAGATGGTGACATGAGGAGGGACAGATTACAGTCACACTGGTTTTTATTTGATCGCTCAACTGTTTACTAAATGATTCAGCTTCATTCCAGCATTATTTATACCTACAATAAATATTTATTTAGCTGAAAATATAATGTTATCAGTGCAGAATTTTATTAGTTGACTTTTTGTAATGAAATGTTTACATTTAACCTTTTATCTGCTTATTGATCTTCATAATGCTGGTAGAAATGTAGCTACAGCTGTGAAGTAGCCCATGAGTGTTATTTTATGATACCTAGTATTTATTTTACTGTATCCCGTTCTCTGGACCAGAGCGTAGACCTGTGGTCACAGACAGGCTGCAGTCATTAAACTGGTAATCGTGAGGTCAGGGGTCACACTGTTTTCTGAGTGTTTGCAACACAGTTCTGAGTTTAAATAGTTATTTTAACACAGTTTGCTCAAGTCATTTAGAAGTTCCTGTTTAGTAATAAATGCAAAGAAAATTCAAATCCGTTTTTTTTATTTAAGCTGCAGTTTTACGGACTTTAATAAACATAAACACAAATACAAACCAGACACTGAAAGCTGAGGTTGTTCTGAAAAAAGGAGCAGAGTTACAAACATTTTACACTTTTATTACAATTTTAAAGCCATAAAACAAAAATACTTGTTATATTTATGGTCATAAGAGGGTTAAACGTGATAAATTTTCCGCCTCCAACAAAGAGATGGTAAAAGTGAATGTGAGCATAATTATATACGTTTTAGTACTTTATTATGTATTTTTTATTATTGACTATTACTCCAAAGAGTTCAGATGAAGGCAGCTGGACTTCTTTGGTTTCTTTAAAACGTTTCACTTCTCCTCTGAGGAGCTTTGTCAGTTCTAACTGGAATATGGGAGAGTCAAGCTCATAAGCTGTAGCTGTCTGTTGTTATTTAAAGAGCAGAAACTACTCTGAGTACCCCGCCTCTCCCTCTCCTGATGAGTCGTTAGCCTCTACTGATGGTGAGTCATCGTGTTGATTAGATGCAGGAAGGTGTGACCTAGACTGAAACTGAATGAGATTAAAAAAAAAGTTCTAATCTTTTAAACAACGCTGTTGGTCCTCTTGGTCCTTGTTCTGGTTTTCTAAAACCCGGTGTTAAAAACCTTGGTGTGTTTTTAGACGGTTCTTTTAATCTTTACAGACAGGTGAGTGCAGTGGTCCAATCAGGTTTTATCATTTAAGGCAGATAGCAAAGGTGAAGCCATACCTTCCTGCTAATGTCCTCGAACATGTCATCCACCTGTTCGTGTCTTGCCGATTGGACGACTGCAACTCCCTGTATTCTGGCCTGGACCAGTCCTCCCCACACCGACTTCAGCTGGTCCAAAATGCAGCGGCTTGCTTGCTGACTGGAACCAGCAAGTGGGATCACATAACCCCGGTTCTGGCCTCTCTCCATTGGCTTCCTGTCTCTTACAGGATCCGTTTCAAAATTTTACTTTTTGTTTTTAAATCCCTTCATGGCCTGGCCCCAGTTTACATCTCTGAGCTGCTGTCCACTTACGTCCCTGCCAGAACCACGAGGTCCAGCTCTATAGCTCTTTTAACAGTTCCAAAAACCCGCCACAAGACTCGCTGCGACAGAGCGTTCTCTGTGGTTGGGCCCAAACTGTGCTACCTCTCAACATCAGGACCACACAGAATCTAGAGCATTTAAATCCCTTCTTAAGACGCAATTTTTTGATTTGGCTTTTAATGCAGGCTGACTTGAGCATCTTAATAGATTTTAACAGTTTTTATCATAGATTGTGACTGTTGTGTGCTCTTCTTATTTTAGGTTTTTATTGTTGATCTGTTGTACCCTGATTTGTTTTACCTTGTACAGCTTTGGTGTAGCTTTGCTGCTGTAAATGCGCTCTGACCTTGACCAAAGCTGTCACGGTCTGAGGTGGATTCCTGCTGTCACTCCCTGTCTTTTGAGTTTTCCCTCTGCAGGTGGGCGTGTCTGGAGGTTGACCAAGCTGCAGCAGATCTGCTCATCAGCTGGCCAGGGGTATTTAAGCAGCTGAGACTTCTTCACCTCGCTGGATGATTACTCTACCTGGACAAACCTACACACTCATCTTAGACTGGCAGAACTCTGGAGCCCACACCATCTGGAACTCCAACCCCGCTCGTCTCTCAGCCTCTCCCCTGGCCAGAACCACCTCCAGCTGCCCACCTAAACTTCCTGGACCTCCACTAGCTCAGCTCCCTCCACGTCTCACTTCTTGGATCTCAGTCCCTGCAAAGCCTCTCAACCCAGACCGGACCACTCCTCCCTCAAACTAGTTCCATCCTCTCCAGACCGTAAGTCCTCCGCACAAGTCTGATTCCTTGTTCCCTCCTCAAATTGGATCTAACTCCGATCTGTCCACAGATTTCCCGCACCAGCTTCCTTGTGCAAGAACTCAGCTACGTTTATGCTGCTTCCTTGGTTTTCCTTTAATAAATCCTTGTTTAAACATTTCACCCCGTCTCTGATCTGATTCTGTATGTCGTGGGTTAGATATCTTCACCACAACATGACAAAAGCTGCATTATTGATACTGGAAAGGTGAAATCTAAGCCCCGCCCCTATTTAAAGTGGGGCTTTTCACGTTTTGACATAGATAGCTTCTTTTACTCCTCTCTCAAATCATCTATCTTCTCTGTCCAGAATGTGGACTTTGTCATCTTCAAAGGTGTGTCCCTTGTCCTTCAGGTGAAGGTGGACTGCAGAGTTCTGACCTGAAGAGGTGGCTCTCCTGTGTTTATGTTCTTGTGTACTTGTTGTTTAGTTTCACTAATGTAAACATCTGGACAGTGCTCCTACACTGGACTGCATAAACGACCCCACTGAGCTTCTGTTTGGGTGTTTTGTCTTCTGGATGGACCAGGTTCTGTCTGAGGGTGTTGTTGGGTTAACGTTTACCGGGATGTTGTGTTTGGAGAAGATTCTTCTAAGTTTCTCTGAGACTCCTGCCACGTGTTAGCCTAGTGAACTAGACCAAATTCTTGCTTTGCAAAGTTTGGTCTAGGCATGCTCCATTGGAACCTCCACAGCTCCTACCAGGACTCTGGCTGGCCAATCACAGCTCTCTAGAGGGGTTTCAAACACATAAAGAGCTGTGATTAGTCCATAATGGTGGGCCAATCATAGTGCTCTATCTGCTTAGTGAACAAATCACAGAGCTTTATTCGCTTTGTGGGCCAATCAGGGCACTCTATATGCCTGGTGGGTGGGATGATGCAACAGGGTGAAACAAGAGTATGTCACGTTCATTGTCCAGTGGAATGTGGAGATCATTTGAAAGACAACGGTAGAACCCGCCCCACAACCGAGAGCCGTCAATGGAGCGTGGCCAGACTAAATAATACATTTATTTAGTCTGGCTTGCCAGGCTAGCCACGTATGTGATGATGGTGCCTTTGTGTAAAGGGTGTTGTTGTTAGGTTGGTAGCAGAGCTCTCATGTTTAGTGTTAAGTTCAGTGAGATCATGGAATGGGATCAAGAATTTTCTACTGACAGGAAAAAGATCTCAGCTAACATAGCTGTAGATCACACTGGATAAGTCTCTGTGGTGCATTTATTTTACATTTATTTTACTACCTCTTACTAGAGCTGTCTTTAGTAAGCACATAATATCTTTGGTTGTACACCTGTGCAATAGCAATAAAGTATCTTGATTCCTGTTAAATGTACTTCCTGAATGAGTGACCTTTTCAGGCTAAAATAACAAAATGACAAATACAGACAGAAGGACGACTTCTTTCTTCTTTTATAATGCGTTGCATCACCACCTGGTATCAGAACAGGACTCAGTATTGGAAGATAATCAAAAATCAAACAACTTGGACTCTGATCAGGGGCAGAAATGTGGTTGTAACACCTCTAGATATAAGTCAGCTTTAAAAACTAAAACTATTATTTATGAACTAACATTAACACTAATGACACTAATTTATATATTTTTATGTTGTTTGAACCCAAGGGTCTCATTATCTGAATTTTCTAACTTATTGGATTGCTCTATAAGTGCCCCTTTTTTCTACTTTGAGCCCCCGCCCCGTCAAAGGTCTCTGCACGGCCCTGCTTGCCACGATACCAGAGAGGTGTGTTATGTTTCTAAACACCTCTGTGTTCAGGAGGTATTGAGCCGCAAATGTCGAATCTGTGAGTATCTTGGTAACTTTACTGAAGTATGTGTTTGTGCGTGCTTGCGTGTATTTGTGCGCGCGATCTCTGCCTCCACAGGTCATTAAAAGTCCTCTTGTTCTTCAGCTCAGGTATTCAGCCCCGAATTCCCACTGAGTCAGATCTGTGAGAGAACCTGCGCTGGACTGTCGTCCATCTGACAGACATGGCTGATGAAGGAGCTCCATCTGCTGTGGTATGCGTCTGGTTCCGGTTGTAGTTCTGCATGACGAGGATCCCTGCAGCTTAGAGGAACTTTATCCACATTTGGACACATTAACCTTTTAAAATGTTTTAAATGTCATCTTCAATCAACTCTGTGGTGAGACGTGTCTCTGGTTGCATGAAGGTTGTGACAGGACCTCTCTGTCTCTTCGCAGCAGGGCTCTCTTTCGGCTGCCCGCAGCTTTGCGCGACCTGCTGCCTCCGCCTCCAACCATAGCCGCCTCCAGGACGCACAGACTCACCAGCCCAGCGGCGGCATGAAGCTGGAGGCAGTGATGGAAACCCTGCAGCGGCAGCAGGCTGCACGTCTGGTCCTGGAAGAGAAGCTCCGGGTGGCGGAACAAAAACAGCAGCCCCATGTGCACCAACAAGCTCTGGACCCCCGCCACTATCAGGCGGCCATGCGCGCCGGAGGTGGCCCGGCGTTCACGCTGTCTCACCGGGAGGATGCGGACATGCGTGTGTGGACCAACGACCAGGATGGAGGAGATACGGACAATCAGGAGATCACTGATGAAGAAGAGAATGATGGTAGTAGTTCAGATCTCCCCCAGCAGCGACCGTCCGCCCTCCGGAGACCTGGTCTGTCCACACAAGGAGCCAGAGGGCAGCTCATGACCAGAGTCCCGGGGTCCACCCTGCCCGCTCCCTCCTCTGGGTTTCCGACGGCGCACCACCACGAGTGGACATACGAGGAGCAGTTTAAACAGGTAAGACCTTCCTGTGAAGATTCAAGAAAACTTTAGTAGTCCCCAAGGGGCAATTTACGTGTGAAGCAGCAAGACACAGTCGCTAAAAAACAGTATTTACAAATCCCCAAACCATGTCTCTCTGTGTGTATGTTCACACACACACACACACACACACACACACACACACACACACACACACACACACACACACACACACACACACACACACACACACACACACACACACACACACACACACACACACACACGCAGCAGCAGGACAGGCCCAGATTCACACACAAATGATACTTCATGTTTCATATATATGAATTTATTTGTTCAGGTTCAAGCTGTTAAAGTCTATAATAAACATAATAATAAGAATTATTATTATTATTACAAAACACACACAAGCAGGAATCAGCACTGCTGACATTGAGAGCAAGGCTGCCTTCATACACGTGCAAACAGTGTGTGGCCAGGGACCTATGAGGTTTGGGGGTCTATCATTTCAGGCTAAACAAAGAAAAAATAAGATAGTCTGCACCTTTTTATTATTTGTCAGGTTTTCAGTCAATCATCTTAGATCAGGGGTGTCAAACATGCGGCCCGCGGGCCGGATCCGTCCCACAAGCGGGTTAAATCCGGCCCGCGAGATGGTTGTGTTAACTTTATTTTCATACTTTACAATGTAGAGAGAAACTAAACTTATCTTTGCTTCTCTGTAATGAGTATAAATAAAACAAAGCTGCGCTCAAGGCTCACACAAGAACTTGAATCCCATCCTGAAGTTGGCCGCCACTCAGGATGTGACTTCTGATACTGATGTGCTGGTGAAAGCTAAAAGATGTTAAGTAAAATAAATTTTAAGTGATGCATGAAACTGATCTAGCCATGTGATCTGTAAGCTCTTTGAATCGCTAAGGAATGTTTATTTTTATTTATTGATTTTTAATTTTTTTCAAAGTTTCAAGTACACTTCAGGTGTTGTACTTGTACTGTTTTAGATACACTGTCCTCAGGCTCCAGCCTTGTTTTATGTTGATTGTATTAAAACAAAGAAAACGATCTGAAGTTGTTTTTAATTTACCGGTCCGGCCCACTTGGGACTAGATTTCTCGCAATGTGGCCCCTGAGCTAAAATGAGTTTGACACCCCTGTCTTAGATGCTCATTTACGGCTGCTGATTGATCCAAATAACAAGTGACCCGTCCCCCACGTGACCAATGGACCATGAGCTGACCAATCAAACAATTTAGATGATTTCAGGGCATGTTCCTCTAGATGTAAGGAAACGTTAAATGGAGGTTGGTGGAGGAGGTGCTCTGGGTAACTGTTTTTGTCAGGTAAAAAAAAAGATAAAGTGAATAAAATATCGAGAGTTTCACAACATTCTATTTCAAGTCTGTTGATCCAATCGGTTTGTGCTAAACATCATCACCGATGAAACAAGTTCTAGTTTAGCTAACTTACTGGAGAAAAGCCTTTTTGCTCAGTGTTGATGTTCGGAGCAAAAACTAAAGAATAAAAGAGAGATGTAATTTAACTTCACCAACTGTAATTTCACAACTTCAACAATAATTATAAAAGCATTCAAATACCAAAATATATTTGTATTGAGTGTGGCGTTATTACTCTTTTTACATTTTCTAGTCTTTTTTTAAAGATAATTAATGAAATAGCTCTAATGTATTCGCTTACAGTGCTACAATTTGAGACATTCTACACTGACAAAGTAAATAGTATGTTCACGCTGTTTGTACCACTCTTCATAAGCATGTAGCAAATTATAAACCAAGTTATGTTCTTTATCGATTCTTTCAACAGCCACAAATCAGATCCCTAAACTTGGAAAGGTCCAACAGAATCCTGGAGAGTTGTTTTAACACGAGACCCGAGTCTCCTTTTTAACGTCATGGATGAAACTTCAAGTGCTCCACCAGTGGGTCCTCATGCATCAGATGTACCCTGGTGTAAATGCACAAACTGTAAAGAATTACCAACAGATACTGAAACAACATGCTGTCAGCAACATCCTCAATCGGGTTTTTCCAAGCTCCCTCAAATGGAAGCATACATTTTGCAGGTGGGGACTTCCGACTTGCCAGACGAATGTGGAATGACATCCGTGCCTTAGAAGATCTTTCCATTGCTGGGGAGGGTAACCAGGAGTTCAGACATGCAGCATACCATCAGTTTGTGGTCTGGCATAATGGAGCATTGGGACATGGTCACAGGGTAGTAATACCAAGCTGCTGTCTGGAGAATCCGAGACAGATCCCCAGGCCCACATGGACAATATAAACGTTTCATCCCAAGCAGAATCTGACAACATTACATAAAGAACAAAAGAGGCTGTCGCTGATACTACTTTGTTTTTTACCATTGCCTTAGATATGTGATCATTGTGCATATTTTTTTGGATATTTTGTAACTTGTTTCTTTTTTCAAAATGTTTGAAATTTTGTTATTCAATTTTTTAAATTTAATTAAAAATATAACTCTTGGGTTCTTACGGTGATGTTAACGCATACATATGACAAAAAAATCTATGTAGTATTTTATATTTTTATTTACAACCTAAAATAATTTTTTTGTTTTCTCATGAGACTTCTACTATAAACATCTGGTGAGTTAGCAGTAAGAAAAGCTGAGTCCCGTTCTGTCCCGCTCTGAACTTGAGACAGTTATCCACACCTTCATCTCCTCACGCTTAAGCTTGGTTTATGCTTGACGCATTCACTTTCCGCTTGGTGATGCGGCTCGCGGATGGAACGCGCTTCACAACTTCCAGCGTTTATGGTTAATGCGGCTTGTCTCTGCGGTGAGCCAATATTCTCCCAAACTGTAGGGGGCAGCATGGAGCTCTACGGCATGCATCCAACACTACACCATAGTAGAAGTAGAAATTATTGTTGTTTACAACACGGCATTCCAGCATTTTTAACAGCGTCCTCGTCTTTTCCGACAGTGCGAGCTATTTCTCTCCAAGAATTATTAACAACATGTTGATCACGGTGATCTCTGAGAGCCGAATCATACAAATGTCTGTATTTACGAACCTCTGCCATACTAGTTCTTGCCAGTCCGCCATGTTTTTCCACGTCCGACCGTCCACGTGGTTAGAAATTTTCCTAGGTGCGCCTTGCGGAAATTTTGGGCCGTGCGGAGACGCGGTGGATGGGCGTGGTTGTTAAAATGATGCAATTTCGCCACGCGGAGCCGTGGGGACCTCGCGGACGCGTCAAGCATAAACCAACCTTTAGACTACTGTAACTCTCTTTTCACGTGTCTGAGCAGAACCTCCCTGAACCGTCTACAGGTGGTTCAGAACGCCTGTGCTCGGCTTCTGACCAAGTCCTCCAAACACACCCACATCACCCCGCTTCTCCTCCAGCTTCACTGGCTGCCAGTCAACTTCAGGGTTCATTTCAAGATCCTGGTTCTGGTCTATAGGGCCTTACATGGACAAGCACCATCTTACACTGGTGATCTTCTTGGTCCCTACACCCCCAGCAGGTCCCTGAGGTCCAGTGACCAAAGCCTACTGGTTGTGCAGCACCAGGCTAAAGACCAAAGGTGACAGATCATCTGCTGCTGTGGCCCCCAGACTCTGGACCTCTCTCCCCCTGAGCCTGAGATCAGTGGACTCAGTGGTCTCCTTTAAAAAGCAGCTGTACACTCACTTATACAGGCTTTGGTGTGACCTTCATCACCCTCTCCTTGTTCTGCTCTCCCCACAATTTACTGACTTCCCTCTTTCCTATTCATTCTCTCTCTCTCTCTCTCTCTCTCTCTCTCTCTCTCTCTCTCTCTCTCTCTCTCTCTCTCTCTCTCTCTCTCATAGCATTTTCACAATTGTATGTTTTTGCATATTTTGAACATATATTAATAATTTCTTAAAATCTTTTTTATATTTTAATTTTTTTGTTTTTGTGAAGCACCTCGTGATTTTTTCTTGAGGTGAGCTATAGAAAAGATCCCTTTCTTTCTTTCTTTCTTTCTTTCTAAGTATGAACTGTAAGCCAAAAGTATCCAACTTTCTTCTGATTAACAAATAGGGGGCGCTCTAAAGGATCAAAAAGTTAGTTTCAGCATAACGGCTTAATGGATTTCTACAAAACCCTTAGGCCATGTTTTCACAATAATTTTAAAATGGGCGTGGCTTATAGGCCTAAAAATGTTTCACCCTTTTACTCATGAAAAATATATATTCTATCCAGAAACTTACAGAACTTATTCGTAATAGTGTCATCTACAACCACAAGAAATTTTTTCAATTTTATCCCTTAGGTGGCGCTGTTGTACCCAAAACATGCTTTTGGAAATTTTTTTCCACACGTCTTCAGTATCAAAACTAATTCTGTTATCCTGGCTGTTCTTTGAGTCAATCAAATGTACAGCAATGTTTTGAAAAACGTATACTTACCGTAAATCCTCTAATACAGGCCCGGGCCTGTATTTGACTCAAGCTCATCAAGCTCCAGGCCTTTATTGGAAGGAGGGCCAGTATTAGAGGCAGGCCTCTATTTCTATTTGAGCAAAATGAACTAATGTTCCTTGGAGTTTTTGACAATTAAAATTGCGTCCACATTTTCAAAGTTAAACACATTTCTTTTAACAACGGTAGTTTCTGCTTCAGCCCTCTCCCCCCTCCCCCTGCTTCAGCCCTCTCCCCCCTCCCCCTGCATCAGCCCTCTCCCCCCTCCCCCTGCGCAGCGGCCGCAAACTCACTGATGCACCTGCAGCCTCTCGGAGTTCCTGCTGCTCTAAACATTAAAATAATTATTTCATTTTCTGTTCCTCACTTCTGATTACCTTCAATGGTGTCTGTTTGTTGCAACCAGCAGGTACAAAAACTAACTTGTTTTTATTTGACTATTTTTCTGTCCTGCCTGTTTATTATCTTCCTGCATCTCCTCTCAGTCCTAAAGAGAAACTGCTACCTGGGTTCATATATATTCACCTTATGAGTTACCTTTGAACTGCAGTTCTAAAACATCTACCGACCGCTAAAACAGCGGAGTGCTCGCTGCTTGGCGGCCGTATCAGTGATCTGTGCGTCGGAGGACAAGGTGATGCGCCCCGCTCCACAGCAGCGAAACGCATCAGGCGCAAATAAAAGACAGAAAACATTAAAGGAAATGAACTGACATGAACGATCGCGTGTTAAATTAGTTTTTGAGGTGACGACACCTGATTGTTACTGTGGCCGTGCTCAGGAGGCAGATCTACCGACCGCGAAAACAGCGGAGCGCTCCCTGCTTGCCGGCCGCATCATGGATCTGTGCGTCGGAGGACAAGGTGAAGCGCCCCGCTCCACAGCAGCGATACACATCAGGCGCAAATAAAAGACAGAAAACATTAAAGGAAATGAACCGACATGAACGATCGCGTGTCAGTACCGACGGTCTGGCACAGCGCGTTGCCCCCCCACCCCCCTGAGCGCAGGAGCTTGTCACCTGCTGACAGCAGGCTGCTGTCTTTTCCGAGGGCTGCATCATGCCGGTCATTATCACGTGACAGCGACTAGTCGACGACAGGCATAAAAAGTCACTATAGTGAAGTTGACTAGTTCATACACCCCCTACTGCTGCTCTCCAGAGTGTTCTGCAGCATAATCAGCACGTTCTCTTTGAACTTGATAGTGTAATGACCTGGCTGGGGTTGTAAGCCAGGTGCATTCTGGGTATTGTGTTATATGTGTTTCCTATCGTTCTGCTAGTTCCTATGTGCTGATTTGCGTGTTGTGTGAGTGTTATGTAAGCCACAGGGAAGGTGATGTGTGTTCTGTGGAGTGGGTTGAATTAGCATGGTTAACTGACACCGTGACTCTGTGTGGTAGGAGCGTGATAGAGGATCGTGTCTGTAGCGTTACAAAGCGTTGAAGAAAAAGCCTAATAAAGGTCTGCGTGAACCTCTACTGCCTCCTGCTGGTTGATTTGGGGACTATAACCCTGCCGCTGGGACACTCATACTTGCTTGTTACCACATTCCACCCGGCCACAATAAGAGACCGGCCATTATTTACCTCTGCTGACTCCGACACCGGCCAAAATTGGAGACCCGGCCTTTAATTGAATACCGGCCTGTATTAGAGGATTTGCGGTATTCAAATTAGTAGAAAATTGCATACTATGTCAAACATGTTAACTCCTCTTAGCCATTATACGCAATCAAGTCGAAACTGTGCCTGACAAGAGGGGACGAGCGGCTGGCCAAACGATGTGAACGTTCTTTTTCTCTAGTAGTTTTTCTACTACACCCACACACATCTCAAATTACAATGAGGGATGGGACACATGAAGCCGAGACTTTGAGATTTGCACTGAGGGGATAAGGGGTACGTCTACTAATACTCGATTTGAAGCTTGCTTCACTTTGCAGAAAATCACCTGTCTGGTGACAAACGAGGCCTCGTTTTACCTGGGTCATGTGACTGGCTTGTTTATTGTATCACTCTTCAGAATAAAAGCTGCCAAACGTCGCAATGCTTGGTGGGTTGTTTCAGTTTGGTCCACGTGTCCATCAGCTTGTAGAAAAAGTAGCTTTCATTATTAGTGTTGGTGATTTTAGTATTCAGCATTAGATCATTCTAATAAAACTATTCACGGTTGATCAGAAGCTTTCACCAACTTCATCCCTGATGTTAGAAAATGTTAAATTAATTTGTTTACTTTTCACTCATTTGTTTTCACTTGAGGTTTCTTTCTTTCTTTTTCAGCTCTATGAACTGGATGATGATGAAAAACGCAAAGGGTTTCTAGACGACCTTTTTTATTTCATGCAACAACGAGGTCAGTTATTTTCCTTTCAGTACAATGAATGTTTGTTTACTAGTTTACTCTAACAGTTGTGTAGACTGATTTCAGAACAATATGTCGGAGTCAGGGGTGTTTTGTGCGTGTAGAAAAAGTTTCAGATGTTTGAGTTCAGCTCATGAAAAATGGGAGCAAAAACAAAAGCATTTATTTTTGTTCAGTGTAATTCTGATGGATCCGGCTTTCCAATAAGCTTTTAACTCTTAGTAAAATTTTCTCATTCTTGTTTGTGTTTATTATTTTATTGCAAACAAAGCAGATCAGCATCTACTTTCACAGTCTGACATAACAAGTCTCTGCATCTGGTTGAAGTTTTCAAAAATACATTGTCAGTGAGAAATACTTGGGCCTTTAGGTGGGAAAGTGTCTACAAAACAGCTGTGCACGCACGTGTGTGTGTGTGAGAGAGAGAGAGAGAGAGAGAGAGAGAGAGAGAGAGAGAGAGAGAGAGAGAGAGAGAGAGAGACCCATCTCTGTATTTCTGACCATAAAGGTACACACTCCTCCTGAGGGCTTCCATCAGACACAGAACAGACAATGGCTGTGATGGCCTCCTTTGTGTGCTGATAAATACTCAGAATGATTTACTGTTGCCGTAAAGGATTTGGTCATCAATTGGTCGTTATCTCACAGACCCACCATCAGCAGTTCTTTTTTTTTTTTTCAAATAAGTCAACTTTTGTTGGTCACTGATTGCTTAAAATTACTGTGAGGGAAAATAAAAGATTGGTTTGGAAATTCTTAGAGCAGGCTTTGCTGCTGCAAATTGCTTTCTTTAATGGAACTTCCCTCATTATGCTTCCCTAATGTTCTCTGTCCTTTATGCCATCTTCACATCATGGCCTGATCTCAGTGTTTGGATCATCCAGAGTTCTGATTCTGGAAGGCTGGTTTCCTGGAGAACTGTCTATATTTTATTGAGTAAATTTTCATTTCCTGTCCCTCAGCTCGGAGGACGAAAATGGCCATGGTGACATCTTCCAGGTTTATCTGCAACTCCGCTCTGTGATTGTCCTATAATTCAAGATATCAGATATTAGTCCACACTGGTTACAGCTGGAACGTTTCAGTACCAGTACATTATTGATACCTGTTTTTTGAAACCGCTACCTGAATGATACGTTTAACGGTAACTATTAAGTCCACTATCAAAAAGAAAAAAGCACCAATCTATGTCTAATACAGACCTGGGACTTAATTTACTCTAGGGCATCCTGGTTCAGGCTTTTATTGGAAAGAGGCCAGAATTAGAGGCAGGCCTCAATTTCAGTTGCATGCATTGTAAACACTTGGTGATAGTGTCATGGATTTTATCAATATGTTTATCAATAACCCATTTCCTGTGGTGAAGAGAGAAGGAGACAATGAACAACAAGTCAAACAGTTATAACTGTGGCAAGATGCCTGAGGCAAATGCCCCGAACATCCGTTCAAAGAGTTTATTTATAGAGAGGGGGAGTGAGAGGGAGAGAGAGAGATTGTGTGTGTGTGTGTGTGGGAAGTCAAGAATGTGTGTGTGTGTCTTGTGTGGGTGTGTCTGAATAAGTGAGCATGCAGCGAGGCATAGAGCAATACATTTACATTCAATTGATTGAGTCCATGATCAAGAATTACCGTATTTTCATGACTATAAGGCACACCTAAAAGTCTTAAATTTTCTCCAAAATGTACGCCGCGTCCTATGGTGCGGTGCGCCTATTGTGTTGTTGTGAGATGCGAACGTAGTAGAAGACAAGGGGCGTGGCGTGAACGTGCGGACGTGAGCAAAGACAGACCCCGAATAGTTCAAAAGGGCAGGTATGCGCGGTGTGCTGAACATTGTTCTGACAACCCTGAGAATGGCACCTGCTAAGAGACACGCCTATGACGCACAGTTTAAACTGCAAGCGATCAGCTACGTGGAGACACACGGGGTAAAAAAGTGGTAGATATGATGTTTCACAAGGTGCTGCTAGAGTTATGTGAAATTTTACTACCGATTTTACTATTTAAAACATAATAATAATCAACTTTTCCATGTTTGCTCGGAGATGTACGGAGCTCTCGGATGCGACCTGACTGCTCACACTGTCCGTCTGGTAGCAACACGTCGGCCCTAAAAATATGCTAAAAATAGCAGTTTTTACTCAACACGTCAGACTTTCTTGTCTTGTTTTGCCTGTTGTCCTTCGGGAGTGCTGCAGGAGGACACACAGGGATTTATGGGGGTTGGATGAGGAAAACGAAATAAAGAAAGTAAAAATAAAATAAATATGAACAACGTGTGTTATTAGGGAAATAGCGAGCGCCGTTGATGCAGGATTGCGCATGCGCCGTGAGCGGTTCTGATACTTTTTGGGTCGCAGCTGCTCGCAGCGCCGCTTCAACTGTGCGATTGTGAGCTCGCATGGACTTCTGGTGTGTTTGATATTTTGCTTGTCCCTCGTGAGAGTATCACACTGTTGAAGCGGCGCTGCGAGCAGCTGCGACCCAAAAAGTATCTGAACTGCCCACGGCGCATGCGCAATCCTGCATCAACACCGCTCGCCCGCTATTTCTCTAATAACGCACGCTGTTCATTTTTATTTCTACACGTTTTTTACTCACAAAGATTGTCAAGAAAGCGTGTTTGTCGTGTTCATGTCAAATTAAACTGATCACAAAACACAGATTTACTTTCTTTATTTCGTTTCCAACCCCCATAAATCCCTGTGTGTCCTCCTGCAGCACTCCCGGTGTACGCCGGCTCTAGTAGGAGGGAGACCCGCGATTATCGCTTTGTTGTGCATGTCTCATTGAAAATGAATGGAGGAGAGGCGAAGTTGCCTCCGGTGTGTCGAGCCCATTAGAAGAGCACGAGCCGTCAGCACACGCAATGAGGAAGTGCACGTGTGCTCTAAACCAGGTCTGAACCAGGACTAGACCAGTAAGGTGAAGCATGCTTTTGGCTGTTTATAATTTTCACAATGTCTGGTTTGCACTGATATGTTCCGAGTCCCGAGCCCGCACAGATGTTTTACCGGTACGTTTTACCGTGCCCCCGCCCTATAACCCGGTGCGCCCTATGGTCGTGAAAATACGGTCTCTCTCGTCTCTCGTCTTCCTCCGCTTATCCGGGTCCGGGTCGCGGGGGCAGCATCCCAACTAGGGAGCTCCAGACCGTCCTCTCCCCGGCCACCTCCACCAGCTCCTCCGGCAGGACCCCAAGGCGTTCCCGGACCAGATTGGAGATGTAACCTCTCCAACGTGTCCTGGGTCGACCCGGGGGCCTCCTGCTGGCAGGACATGCCCAAAACACCTCCCCAGGGAGGCGTCCAGGAGGCATCCTGACCAGATGCCCAAACCACCTCAACTGGCTCCTTTCGATCCGGAGGAGCAGCGGTTCTACTCCGAGTCCCTCCCGAATGTCCGAGCTCCTCACCCTATCTCTAAGGCTGAGCCCGGCCACCCTACGGAGGAAACTCATTTCGGCCGCTTGTATCCGCGATCTCGTTCTTTCGGTCATTACCCAAAGCTCATGACCATAGGTGAAAATACGGTAATAAACATAAATTTTTCCATAACATTCCCTCCTGTTTACCCGAATAGGATAACCAAACAAAGGAAAGCAACAAAACAAAACAAAACCAAAGGAGGAAATAAAAATAGTAAAACAATAAGAAACATTATCCACTTCCATAACTTGTCACCATTAACTACGAAAGCTACATCAATCACGGATCAAGACAAAAATGATAAGCATCAAAACAAAAAAAATAATAAGTAAAGTAATGAACACTACGAACAGATATAAAAGGGTCAGAATCAACACGATAAGGCAAACACAGCACAGTACAGTACAGTGTTTTGAAACATCAGGTGAATTTAGATTAAAGCTTCAAGTTCGCATACGAGTCTTCCTGTGAAGGAGGACAAATGAAGGTGTAATATTAATTCATGCAGCTCTATCCATGGCAGAGCTGAAGCAAACCAGGCGTTCTTCATCAAAGGGCTTGTCCGTGGACTGAGAGTCCCGGTTGGAGAATACGTTTGAAAGTCTCTCCCGTTGATCAGGATGGTTTCAGTCTTACGTTGATGAGTATCTTGAAGTCCAGGTCCAGAGTGTAATTACGCAGTTCGGAGCATGAAGCGCAAAGTTCAACTTCTCAGTAGGAAGACACCAGGGTCCTTCCATGGCGTGTCGAGGCGGTTCTCCAATTGTCAGGGAGCTGATCTTGTCCCCAAAAAGTCCTACAGGTCTTTGACCGTGAAACCAGTCTGGAGATTTGGGTGCAGGTGCTTGAAGTAGTTGATCCATTTCCAGTGTCTCTTTTTCACTGTGTCCTGTTGTAGTTGCGTCCAGGGGGTCTTCAGCCGAGGTGGATGCAGGTTACGTCGTCCTGTAGGTGCGCAGTCAGGGAGGAGCCCCAATCCGTTGTTTCAGTTCCAGTTCTAGTACCCCCTCAAATGCTGCTGTCTCAGTTGTTCCATCAGGTGCTGAGAAGTGGTACAAGTGCAGGGCCATGAGTGCAACCACCAATATCAACAATGTGGTGAACCCAGCAAGCTCGAAGCAGATCTTTTTTTTTATCTTATGTTGATCTTATCTTCACCGGGTTTGAGAGACAGCACCCTAGTGGTGGTCCACCCCTTTGTAGCCAGACTTCGTTCCCGCTAAAGCGGTTAGTTGATAAGCTTGCAGTGGGATAGATGAATCCAAGATGGCCTCTCAGCAATCTTCACAGCAGTGGGAGTGATGAGGAGTACTTCCAATGGACCTCTGGCTGCCCCATCTGTTTCGCTTCAGCACCTTCATCAGAACCCAATTTCCTGGTTTCACGACCTGAGGCGAAAAAGCAAGAAAATTCTGGGAGATCACTGTTGATTTTGAATTGTTTTCAGCAACAATCATCTAATATTTAAGGTAATTCCATCCAGGCAGTGTAGTAATGTGAGGACATTGTTATCAGCCTCCCCTCCTCTTGAGGCATGAGGCAACTCAGGGCTCACCAGAAACA